CTGGGATTTTTTTCCACATTTAGGGGCTCTGTCTGATATTTGATTGTATACCACATTGAATAAAGGCTACAGAGAGATAGCTRCTGAATTTATGATCAATAGAAAATTGCAAATTTTGTCTCCCAACCAATTCTATCAAATGATCCAGCACAACACATCAATAAAAAGCCCTGAATTGACGCTGTTTCCTTATTTCATGCCCTGTTTAAGTTCCCTGGGGATGACRGATTAATTTAATTAGTTTTATTGAACTGTCTAGTTGCTTTTATTGGCAAATCTACTCATAGGCTGAAATTTCTCTTGGGGTTAGCATTGTCCTACTGGTCCATTTTTAAAATAAAAGTGCATTTACTGTCACTTCTTATACAGTTCTCTGCTAYACTTTCTGCTGTGAAGACTCACGTTTGTAAAGTGCCTCCACTGACACTTACACAGGAAGTTTAAAGCTGTTGTTTTTCCTAAATGTGGTTATTGAAAAAAGGAAGCAGACAGCTACAGCCAAATGGACTGTGAACTGAAAACACTGCCCAGCTTTCACTGGGGAATTAAGTTAATCTGATCACAACACAGAAKATGGCTCTTGCCTGCCACCTGTAAGCACACAAGTGATCAGTCACTTCCAAACTTCCTCCACYTGACAGTTTGCTCAGCACAGAAGCATCAAAACAACAACACCAAGGCTATGAAGATGGGTCTAATCAAGGTCCCTGGACTTCAACGCACTGCCAGGCAGTGGGAGGTGTATGAAATAGAGCCAAATTACCAGCAGGAATGAATTCATCTAATTCTAGCCTAGACCAATAAAAAAAAATACAAATCTTAACTTGGATTTGGATAACAATTTTATTCATGGCAGCATCTTCCTATGCAGCTGCCATGAATAATGATCCAGAATGATCCAGAATCCCTTATTTTTAGAAGTGGRAGAGGAGTAATTTAAAATCTAGATGAAAAAATTGAAGCTTGAACTATTTGGAGGAGTTTGTTTCTGTATATTTTGTACAAGGTCAAATGAGATATTTTATATTCCAGTGAATTTCCCATTCTCCCTCTGAATTAAAAAAAAAATGAGCAGATGCTACCCTCTAATTTTGAGCATCATAGCACCAGATTTCAAACACTCTACCCAGGATTTGAAAGAGACTTTTGTCCTCTGTGGCAATTTTTTCAAAAGGGGGGTTGGTTGCATTTTTGCATTTCCACGAGATTTTGTCCAAGGTTTTTCTAGGAAGTGTGGAGTTCTGAACGTACCACTCATTGACCACATCTACAGAATCTGTATCATTCACTCCTTTGTAAATTCAGCTCTTCTGAGGCTTCATCAACTGCAAAGCTCTAAAGCAAGTATGAAAAATTTCATCTTTCTGGACTCTTGCTCTAATTGCTACATTACATTCTCATGAGTTCACCAGCCCCTTCATCTATATATATTCATCTTATTATTATCCTCATGACAAAAACACACTTTGGATGCTCTAAATAGGAAAACCAAGAGACTTAACTAGAATCTTAACCYAGCCCTCAAATGTCTATCCATTAGAGAATCAATAAAAAAGGTTTTAAAAATTTTGTACTTATGAAGTACTCCCATAATTTAAAAATATTATTTATTCAAGATATATACATCATGTTCTGTTGGAGCAGTATGTTTTAAATGCTGAGGTCGGAGTTTTAAAAATATATTTATGYATGTTTATCCATTTTCCATCAGATCTGTAGACATGATGTAAAAGTCTTTCTGCAAAATTTACCTGTCAATTAGTCTATGMACCCTTATTTTCTCACTGCACCAAGAACATTTTAAAAAGCAGAACCACTGGGATTTTTAGGAATACTAGAATCCAAAAGATTAAAATCCCAYATCAAAGATGCAATTTTATGGTCCAGCTAAATTATAACTTATCTCTGTACTAGTTAAACTGAACACACACCTGACATCAATTACAAAGAATTTAGAAGAACTTATTTTGACTCTAGATCTTGCTTGAACTAAGAGAATAACTTTTCAAATAGCACAAAGAATAGAAGTATTCAAAGTTAATATCACATATTCAGATACAATAAAAAGGCAACATTCTAAAATGTGATTTTCTTGATTAGGATATTAGCAATTCTTAAAAAATCAAATTGAAGTCAGGAATGTAAAAATCCATTAATATTATTTCCCATATTTATAAGAATGAAACTGTACTCTCAGCAGAAGATCCTAATGTGTTCACAGGACACCACTCCAGGCTATTTATAGTCTCAAATAGTTTTTTTTAGCTAGGCCAGAACAGTCAAGGACACTTGGGTCTTTCTACTCAAGCTRCAATCTTTACAGCTTTACTGTGTGTAAACTTAACATATGAAGAAAAATTAAAAAATCATTAGGGCATCAGATTCTTATGAGATGCCATCAAGAATAACAGAGAAACTTAAGGTGAAAGTATCCTTGCAATGCCAACTACACACCTAGTATGCTCAAGTGAAAATCACCTTCTATAAACATCTTAGTCTGTGAAATCAATGGGATCCAATTAATTCTGTGTGTTTTCTGTTTCCAATATTATGACAGATAGAAATCTATCAGAATGACAATGTATGTCTTAGGCTTTAAGTAGAATTTTTGCAGGTCATTAGTTTAAAATGCAAACCAGCATCTTGRGTACTTCTAACGGAAAACAAAAGTRGGAAGAAAACAAGTTGAGCTGTTCAGTTCATCCCACCATAGGAACCTGCATTTTTAAGTATTTGATTTAGGTAAAGCTCTACCTTTTATATGATTTTAGTAGCAACTGCTACAGTGACAGTGAAAGTGACTGAAATACGCGCTGAGGCTTTTTGCAAGTAGCATCATGATATGCAGCATGGTTCTACGATAGGAGCTATCCCCAGTGTATCAATCATACATAAGACCAGAAACAGATTTTCAATCCTCTTATCCCCCAGTGTCTCCTTTCTCTTCTATATTTTATAGGGAGGAGAGACAGAAAGTTACCACAAGATTTCTGTGGCAGCAGCTTCAACTCCCTCACTGCTTTTCTGCTCAATGCTTATGACTGACACTTAGTTCTGTCTGAAGGACAAGGACAGGACAGACTTCTAAGTGCCAGTAAATGGAGCATGCCACATTCTGTAGTTTAAAAATACAGTGCTTCTGCAATAATATGAGGACATCACTTTTAGTGCAAAGCAGTGGTAAAGAGAATTGTGAGTAATGTGTAGCTTGAACTTGTTATGGCACCTGATTAAACGTGCCTAAAAAAATGAGCCTGAGCTACAGAATTGGAATTCTGTAATTCAGCAATGCTCACATCAAGGTTAAGCTCCACTTTTTATGTCACATGCAGAACGTAAGATCTTTTCAGCCTAATCATCTAATCTGATGTCCTGCTGTACCTTCMTCCAAGTTACCTGCTAGCTTGGCACAGGATGGGTCAGGTTGGAAGGGATCACAGTGGGTCACCTGGTCCTACCTCCCTGCTCAAACAGGGTCATCCCAGAGCATGTGGCACAGGAATGTGTTCAGAGAATCTTGCATATCTTGAGTATCTCCAGTGATGGAGACTCTACACCCTCTCTGGTGTAGACTGGGCAATCTGCACAGTCAAGTTCTTCCTCATGTTCAGGTGGAACTTCTGTGCATCAAAATCAGTCTTTGTCCATTGCTTCTTGTCCTATTGCTTGGCACGCCCAAGRAGAGCCTGGTTCCATCCTCTGACACCCTCCTGTCACACACTTACAGACATTGATAAGGTCCCCTCTCATTCATCTCTTCTTAAGGCTGAACAGGCTGAACTGTCTCAGGCTTTCCTCATATGAGAAATGTTCCAGTTCCTTAATAATCTCTACAGCTGTCTGCTGGACCTGCTTTAAGAGCTCCAAGTCTCCCTTGTCCTGAGGAGCCCAGATCTGGACACAGCCCTGCAGATGTGCCTCACCAAGGCTGAGCAGAGGGAAAGGATCACCTCCTCTGGCAATTCTCTTCCTAATGCACCCCAGGAAACCACTGGCCTTCTTGTCCACTGCTGGTCACGGACAGCTTGTTGTCCACCAGGACCCCCAGATCCTTCTCCACAAAGCTGCTTCCCAGCAGATCAGCCTGTCCTGCTGTGTGGGGTTATTCCTCCCCAATTGCAGGGCCCTGCATTTGCCTTTGTTGAATTTCAGAAGGTCCCTCTCTGCCCATCTCTCCAGCCTGTCAAGGCCCTTCTGAAGGGCTGCACAGCCCTCTGGGCTGTTGGCCACTGCTCCCAGCTTTGTGTCAGCAGGGAACTTGCTGAGGAGGCATCTGCCCCTGCCTGCAACTCACTGATGAATTAGTTAAACAAGGCTGARCACAGTATTGAACCCTGGGGGACACCACCTGTGACAGGGCTCCAACCAGACCCTGTGCTGCTGATCACAACACTTGAATCTGTCACTCAGCCAACTGTTAATCCACCTCATTGTCCACTCATCCAGCCCACACTTCCTGAGTTTGCCTATGAGGATGCCATGAAAAACAGTGTTGAAAGCCTCGCTGAAATCCATTTAGACAATATCCACATCCCTGCAGGTAGCTGTCTCTGTAGAAGGCAACCACATTATAGAATGCACACACATAGGCACAGCACAGCAGGCTAGTGTTAGTAAACTTGTGAGAGTACCCACACTGCACACACCTAATCTCAGGCCATCTCACACTATTAAACACTTTCCTTAGGCTCTTCTTGTATGGAAATGTCTCATGCAAGACTATACTAGATGCACTTAGGAAACATCTACCCTTCTGAACAGAGCATGTTCCCCCACCTCCCTGAAGCAAGCATAAATGGCTAACTACCTGTAGAGATCTAGCAGCCTGGGAACCAATCTGTAGAAGGTTGTCTTTAGGGTTCCCACTGCTGAGTGGAGAAACAGGATTGGCTAAACTCACAAAGCAGGTGAGTAGCAGAAATACACTAAATACTATTGCTTCTCTTTTTACCTTCCCTCCCGCCTGTGGTATCTAAGGGGAGATTTGGGAAGTTACATACCTTTCAAGAGATATGTGAATGTATTTAGAAACTCTTCATATGACTGCTCATGGCTATTAACAAACTGATCAAGGATGCTGTCCTTTAACAGTTGTTCTCCCATGATCATCCACACCTGGAGAGTTGAATAGGTGTATCTACTTTAGTAGGCTGCTTCTGCAATAGAAATTAAAAAGCAATATATACATGTGCAGGCAGAAAACAAATCAACAGAAGAGTCCCTAGTTCACACATGTGAGCACTAGAACGCAAAATTTTTCTTCTCCCCTTGTGAGGTTCTGATCTTGTCAGTGGAACTTTACTCAACATTTCTCCCAAAATTCATGTGGCCATAGAAATTTTTAGTATAAAGGGAGAAATTGCGATCATTTATCTTGAAATTTATGACTTTGGGTAGTATGGGCCACAGAAATATCAGCTTCTCTTAGTGCTGCTCATTCCTTTAAGTTGTTCAGTCTTTCAACTACAGCCTTTTTTGAAGGAACCACTGCGACACCACTCGTCAGCATGTWGTGTTTGACAACCAGGACACACCTGTACATTCAAAACTTGGACTGACTCCATCATCTCCAGGTGCACTGCTCAGTGTACCATCAAAGCCACTCACCCAGATTTTGGACCACATGTTAAATCACAATGACACGTGTGTCTGTCTACACCAATGCAGCACAGAGGACAGGGAGTGAGTGGTGGAACTTGACAGCCACATAGGAATGTGAGTGGAGAAGGGAATAAATGCTGAGAGCTGAAGGAAAAAAGTTCCACTCTCCAGTCACACAGCAACAGCTTTCCAGCCCACCTTCATCACTTAACCCAGCTCTACAGGAACCAGGGGACCCAAAACAGACCCCAGAGAAGTCTGCTAAAGTTAACCTTGCCCCTTCCTTACCAAAGCTGTGTAAAYGCCTGTTAACAGCTGCATGATGCTGAACAGTTACCCATTACTTATTTTTTATACACATAGGTCCACACTAATAGAATCAGTTTGCACACATAAACCCGATCAAGATGCAAGAATRCATTATCTGCTAAGTGCTTGATTTGCAACTGTTCTTGTGTTTCCCCTCTTGATTTACCACAACACTAAGAAGTGGATTTCAGGGATGAAAGCTTAATTCTTCAGCAAAACTTCAAATCAACTACACTAAGGAAAGGCTGCCAACCTGATTTTGAAGTTAAGTAAAAGCAAAAAAGAATTGTTCAGAGACCAGAAAGAAAATAAAGCATGACTTCTAACATAAAACTCTAATTTTGTTGGATTGCCTGCTTCCAAGGAAGACTAATGTTCTGAAGATATCAAAAAACATGCACATCCACATRACTTAAAGTTTAAGTTTTCTAATGTTTTACAAAAAAACAACCATTATTAATCTCTYTGTGGACTGACCAAGCAGAATATAACTCACCAGACTCTCAGAGTTGTTTATGTGTATTCCAGTGCTTTGAGAGGTAAGCAGTGCCTTCTATTCCTCATTGTCATTATTAAAATTATTATTTGACATAGTGCTGTAATTTGTAAGGCAACTGTAAAAGAAAACACGTATCTAACCAAGAAAATACTAATAATAACTTTTTGTTTTTCTTTGTAGCCCAATGTCTAGGATCTTCAAATCCTTAAAAACACTAACAAAATAAACTTAACAATATTCCCAAAAGGAAGAGCAAACAAATATTATTCCCAGTAACAGATTTAAAAAACTGAGTCATAACGAATTTAAATTATTTAAAGACAGATTAGTGGACGTTTGACACTAAATCTTAGATTACTTAACTSTAAATGAATATGCAATTTGGGGGAATAGTGATAGGCTTAACCAGATGCATGACAGCTTTCTCAGGGAATGCCATGCTCTACAGACACCAGATCATCAGCCTGAAATTAAGCACCCAGACCAGGTGGTACCAAAATCATATCTCAATTGCAATCATATCTCTGCTGTATAACTCCCACCTCCCATAGAATTTAGGAAASTTCACTTCAGATTTTCCCTTGTGCAGCTGTTATTGAGGTCTACAGAATCTCCTCACGGAGAAAGAAACAGCTTGGTCTTAATGAAAGCCTAGGTTCTGTCAGGAAAATAGCCATTCTCTCAAAGAACAGAGGAGAGACTGGCAGCTAGAACTACCTGTCCCCCATTTCAATTATTTTGAAGAACTGCAGGGTGCTGTAGATGGTCCTAAATGAAAGCAAGTGCAGAGGATGGTATTTGGGGAATATGTACTATCCCTGGAACTGAACATGTGGTTAGGATGGATGGTACAAGAGGTGTGTTCAAAAWTTGATCTCAACCCATCCAGGTTTTGGCATTTTTCATTTTCATCCCACTTCCCCCCGTTTTATACCAGTCTCTCTTACATGAGCACCATACTGTGTAAATTGCAGAGAAGTTTCGTGAGGTGAACAGCTGAGACCAGGCTGACTAGAAGACTCACCTTTACTAAGGAGCTAACCAGYAGATTAGGTTCTACATAAGTAAAAGGCTTCAGCATTCACTCAMTTCACAGCCWCAAGGCAATGACTTCTTTAAACTGTCCTGAAAAAAAAAAGAAAAAATACACAAYAATGGATTGGAATCCTCCACAATTTATAAAGTGGATACATTGACATTTCATTTCTAGGAATTAAATTACTGCACTGTTCTGCTAAAGAATAGCTGCTACTAAAATCAAAAACTTTTTTTTTTCCCAAAGGAATCAAACTAACTTGGAGGTCTCAAGGAAAGTAAAGCAAGGGTATCTGATCCTATCCTCCTTGGATAGTTTCAGAGTCAAATATCAGTAGGTGATGCATTCAAGCAACTWTGCATAAGCATCAACTATGCTTTCTTCCTTTTGCATTTCACTCCTGCTCATCCATCCAAATTACTTTAATGAGGTTTCTTGAGGCGATCATTCAATTAAGCCTTGCTGATCATCAGCAGATTATGCAAAATCAATTTTATTTCTCAAAATGCAGTCTTCTTCCAAGCAATTTAAGACAAATCAGAAATCTCTGCATTGAATCACAGAGGCAGGTCAAGTGAGTATTAGCATGATTTCAATTATACAGTGATTAGTTCTATCAAACAACACAAAATGTAGTGGAATATAGACTTCCTGGTTTATGCTGCATTTTTGAGTGCTTTATATTTCTTTAAAATATAATAGAGGCAATGAAAAAAAAATCAAGATTATGAATTTTTAAATGGAAAGAGCAATAAGCTAATCCTCTCTACAAACTCAATAAAATCCCATGTAATTTAATTTTTCTGGGGAAAAAAATACTTCACCAGCATTTCCCGCATAGGTTCAAGGTTCTCACGCTATGAATTTGATCTCCTGGAAGTTATTCTCAGTTTAAAAAAAGGCRGATTTATAAATGGTTTTTCGTAGTTCACCCATAGGTTCATGAAAAATATCCACTAGGTGTACCTTTTATCAAGATTTTATAATCTATATCTGCACAAATCAGACTGAATTTAAATACATTATCTTTAAATCTTATACTCTGTTATTATGGTGCAATGCCYGATCTCTTTTCCCTATAGTGCTATCACAGTAACTACACTTTTAACAACATTGTTGCAGCAAGGAAGAATGAGGTAGCACCATTGCAAAAAAAATATTTTATCAGACAAGTGCACTCAGAATCAATTTAAGTCTATCTAGGTTTTSACTACTCCTAAAAAGGCCACCACCACCTTCCTTTCCTCTTCACCTTCTGGTTTACCACTCCAGTCCATCTCTTGGGCAGACAAAATAAACTACCAAGGCAAAACTTGAAAGTTAACAGAGCAAATGCATAAATTCTGTTTTAAAGACACATTTCCTGATCTGCTTTACAGCCATATGGTGGTGAGTGCCTGTACAACGGGACAGTGGAACATGCAGTGGGAGCAATGGGAGGATGCAGGATTGTCCTTTTAGCAGCCTGTCATAGTTGCTTATGCAACCATGAAAGCACAGCCCCATCAGAAACACCCTCACAAATGGCCCAGAAAGTTGAGCTTCCTCCACTCTGCAAAAGCTGATGTCAGCAGGGCACTCCTACACCCACCACGCTGAGCTGGAGCCCACAGTGCAGATTATCAGCCCCCACAGTGCAAAGAGGCAGGAACTCAAGCCTGTCCTTAACAAGYGCTTGTTGTTAGCTATGGATCATGGTTGCTGCCTTAACAAACATCCCAGGATGGCGTTTTAAAAGCAGGCCAAGGGAAAGGAATGATTCTGGGAATTCCTGCTTGAGAAAGACATAAAACATTCCAAGTCGGACAGCAGAGGGAGGTTACCCATTTTCCTTAAGGCAGAAAACTGCTGCCTCCTTCTCTAGACATCGGCAAACAAACCTACAACTGCAGAAGAAAGCCCTCCCTGCTCTACTGTCCTGCCCTACTTTTCTCCTTCCTCCTCCCTGCTACCACCACCTGTGGGGAGGCAGAGCTCCAGGAAGGAACCCAAAGGCACCAAGTTCTGGCCACAAGCAGGTGCAGGTCAACCCAGCTGCGGGAACAAACTAACAGTTACAAAGGACAAAAACTTTCAGATSAGGCTCCTTCCAACATCTTGCAATTCAGTGTGATCTACAACAGCTAATCCTATTAAAATCAACTGGATGTTTGCCATTGCCTTCAGCAGGAGGCCTTAAGGGCACACACTAAATGCATCAGCAATTTGAGTGGATGGGAGCTGCATATGCTTGCCTGAGTGCATTACTGAGCCTGAGAGCTGACCTTTAGATGGACAAAAACATGTGCCTCTTATGCCCAGCTCGTACGAGCTTTTAAAGGATATATCCAAGGACTTTAATTGCAAGCAAGCATATTGATCCTGGTGGATTTCACTGCTATTATGCCAGTCCCACACCTGAGCAGAATTTTTTAAAATGAATTTCCAATGGCTTCAAGAGCAYTGCTCCCTTTAAAGACCACCTAGAGGCCTGTGGCAAGGGTAACATTTCGTCCAAACTGCGGTAGCCACTGCCCCCTGGAATGCAATTGTCTGGGATCTAACAGTCAAAGCACAGCTGGATTCAATCAGATATTTCAGATAAGACCTCCAAATAAAGCCCTCTCCCTCACATGTTAAATACTGTTTACTGTCAGTTTTAGATGAGACAGAAAATTGAAGACTGTAGGATGCTGGACTCCCTGTGCCTTTTTTTACAGGTTTCAGCCTGTAGGTCCTGGCTAAATATCCAGCATATTTGCATTCTGGCTGGCAAACCCTACACAAATGAGTAAGGCAGCCTTCCCTTYCCCTGCTGAGCTGGAGTGCATTACTGCAACCCACAGGAAGCCAGCTACATTTCAGCTCAGAGATGACTGCTCTACAGGCAGAAAATACACTCAAAAGCCTGGAAATATCTCAATGCAATTTGGAATGATTTGGGMTGAAAAAGATAAAAACAACCTATGATTTTAAGAAATTAATTGTGGAAGAAAATCAAATGAAATAAAGGATTTTTATAACAGTGATCAATCTGCTAAAAACATACTACCTATGTCRATGTTATTTAAATAGAAAATGTGAAGGAAAAGTCTATTTAATCCTTTTCACATGGGTTCTCTGCCAGTTAAATTCAGGATAGGATTCCAGGAACTTCTTTCTATGACCTGGACAATTYGGAACATAACTTCCCTACCATGTAGATACATTATTCTGAAGCTATTTGATGCAGCTTCTCCAAAGCACTTTGTCATTGACAGTTACAGAGATCAGCTTGGACAGACCATGTCCTCATCTAAAAAGGACATGCGGTTGCCAACAAACCTTAATTTCTCCATCTCCTCACCCACAGTAATTGGAAAAAGAATTTCTAAAGATAAGGCATGTCAGCTGGTAGAAAGAAAGTAAAATGAAYGTGAAATATTAAAGTGACACTACTGGGGGACTGGATTTTGTATTTTTTTGCCAGTAGATCTTTGATCAGAGACCCAAACATGGGCCAGAATATGTCAAACACAGATAAGAAGCTGTCAAGTATCATCTAGACCCTACTGAAAATACAAATAAATGTGATCTGAATGACCTTAAATTTGGGGGAAATTCTTCAGCATTCAACTCTGCACTACAGTCTCCTTTTATCTTTGTTCCAATAGAGAAGTAAAAGGTCCATATGGATGATACAGGGCACAGTGCCTTAGCACTGTTGTATTTCAGATGAGAAACATCACCMCATSCAATCYGCATTACAGTAATTCAACATCTCARGACAATTTTCACAAACATTTGGTATGTTTGCTTTGCTATACTAATCAAATTCCATTTCAAGTTCCTTCTATTTCTATTTTCCCAGTCGTTTCAAATGGGAGTTGAGATATTTCTAAAATACTGTGCAGCAGATGTTGTAACTCAGGAGTGGGTGAAGTGGGGCCAGGAAAACAAAAGCAGGGAGCTATGAAGAGTGAATTGTTTTCCAGGTTTTGCTGTTTATTTGTTGTGCTGTGTTATGCAAGTRGCTTATCCTCTGTGCCCCAGCACTGCTAGCTGTTGAAAGCATATGTTCCCAGAGGACTTCCCAGAGTCTCATTATTTTTTYGTCGGAGAAAAGCACTGCAAAACTGATGAAAAATGCCACAGAAGRGTGCAAAGTTTTATTAGCCTTTTAAGGTCTGATCAGAAGGCCACTGGAGCAGAAAAATAAGACACTTCCAATTACTTCAGTGGACTTTGAATTGGACTTTAAGTCAGCCCTCACTCAGTGAACTGCACGCATTTGTCATTTCCTTTACTCTGTTTCAATGTCATTGCCCACTTGCAGCAGAGCATTCCTGGGGAAAGTAGTATACCAATCAGCAAGAGTTGTTTTCTTTTACTACCTATTGAAATTATACTTTCTTTTAACTCAAAATTTATTTTAAATTACATTTTAAAATACCACTGAAAAATTCTGAAGATGTTCACAAGATAGATGGGCTTAACAGTGTAAAAAGATTAAACCATAAAGAAGTGTATGCTGCAGATATTTACACCCTAAGAGGCATCTGCTGTCACTCTGAACTTGTTCTACTGCAAAGAGTTAAAGCTTCTAGAGGCTGGTGGGTTTCTTGTTGTGCCACCTGAAGACAAGAGAGGAAAGGAAAAAAAAACCAGCCACAGCCAGTTAGCCACAGTAGATGGAGTTCTCARGAGCACATCTGCAAATTAAGCAGCTAGATTCCCCTCCATCAGGCTGTCTCTCCATGCCACGAGCCCCCTGTGCTGTCACAGAAGATTCCTCAAATTGCTCACATYTGAATCCCAAATACACAGAAAGATYACGGARGACACAAAAAACCGCTATCAGCCAGGTACGTCTAAATTACTGTTCTCCTAAAGCATGCTTGGTTGATGCACTTAGGAATTTTTTTGAGAAATACTATATAAAAAACTTCCTTCCTTAGGTTTCTTTATGGAGGACTTCAAGGCCTCTCTGTGTGTCTGGATATGATTTTGATTGTGGAGAATTTGGAAACAGCACTTGCTTTTTAGTGGTATTCTTTTCTATTTTGGAATGAAAAAACAGATCTGTCAGAGAAAAAAAAAATACAATACTGTAAAATTAATTTAATTCTATCATAGAATACCTGTGCTGATGCCAAAGTAAATGCAAACTCATTAATTTAATGGTCAGCAATGGGTGTTTACCAACTAAGGCTCCATGTTATCCTGCAATCCATTCTCTCAGTATGCTCTCAATCAGTGCCACTCAAAGATCTTATTTTTCTATAAAAGAAGAAAGGTTCTTCGTGTTTGCTACAGTTCATAAGATCAACTCATTCATCATTCATTATTTCGTAGCATTCAAATTACTGTGAAATTCTTACAAATAATACTTTCAATGTTGAAAAATATGAGATGTCAAACTAAACCGCAGCACTGATTAGTCATTGTTCTCCTGATCAGAATGTTTTTGTTGCCTAATTGAGTACCAGGCAATGCACATAGGTAAACAAACCATTTCCGCATAGGGTCAAAGAGGACAACAAGTAATAACCACAGTTTGGGAATGACTCAGAGCCTAAACATTGTCATCTAGTGAAATTTTATAAAACCTGTACTTATTAGGACCTAGGACACAAAACCAATGGGAGACTTCTTTCCATAGAAGTTAGAAGACAAGGAAGAATATCCAAARGTATATAAAATGTCACTTGCTGTTTGGGTGACTGCTACCCCTTGTTTCTAATAGACATTCCTCCTGTACTTCTCTGTGAACACTTAATATAGTGTCTGAAATGATATCTAAAATTGTAACTATGTCCATCTATTGCCATTGTAAGCACATTATAATTTTAAATTATATTAGCTAGTGCTTTTACAAAACACCTCTTTTCATYTGAGCCTTCTATAAATACATCTCCCAACATATCTATCTAAATGTGAATTCCTTATAATCTCTTCTTGCCATATAAACAACTCTTACCTGGAACAACCACTTGCTCAAAATACTGATTTTAAAATAAATTCAGAATAGTATTAGTTTTCTTCTTTCTGTTAGCTTAGCTTCTAGCTCAGGTCTCTACGGCTTCCTAAATAAGGGGCTTATAAAAGTAATGCTGAGACTCTCATTTATTTGTATCACCCTTACAGTTTAACCTTTTAGAAAAATACCAAATATGATTAACTATGACTCAAGTCATCATAACTGCTAATTGTTAATGTAAATTCACCCTTCTCTTTCTATTTGTCTTTACTCCTTGTAGTGTCTCTTCCCYRGTATCTYGTGCTGCACCACAACAAAGGCATTYGTTTCCCTCTGCACTATCTGTAATGCTAATCCAACTCCACAATGACAGTTTTGAGCATAAAGCCACAAAAAAAAGCATTTTAAACTCGTTGCTCATAAGGTTAGATCTTTACCTTCTGGGTTCCCTGAAGCTGTTCAGGGTTAGATGAGCCATGCCCCAAAGGAATTAGTGGTATTGGGAGGTTAGAGGTGGAGGTCAGCACAGCAAAAGAGCAATGACACTCTATTAACACACTGTAATTAGCATGACAACACATAGAAAGCCAAAGCAATTCTAAGAAGGAGCTACTTCTGTCAAAAAGTCTCAGATAAATAGTCCCTCCATTATTTACTGAACTGCTTGCTCATGTAAAGTTCAAGAAATATTACGAGATTATGAAGAAGTGTGTTTAAGTGTGCTTAACAAGTATATTTTCTGGGTCTATCAMTCAAATAATTTTCACTCTGTATCTATAGTCTCTTCAGATAGTAAACTCCTCAGAAATGAGCATTGCTCAATATTTGGGAAATAGTTTGTAACATTGTGGAACTAATAATTGTCATATTTGGAGATTCTTTAAGTACATGTAAAAATATAAGATGCACACTAATATGTCAATTAAATTGTTGGCCACTTTTAATATGCTCATTAGATTTCAAATATAAACCAAATAATATAAGTCAAATGTAGAACAGTAGTGCTACAAAATAAAGAACACTTATTTTTGCATACAGAACAGAAATTTTCTTATGGCATCTTCAGTATGGAAGACATTTTACTTTTCYAAAGATCCCATAAAACCAAAGAAGCAAAGTAACCTATGAAAAAAGAGACAAATGACATCTAATTCAGCAAGCCCAACTYAGTGCAAGCTCCTCTGATGATGCCATTTTTGAATGCTTGTAAGAAACAAGCAGCAGATTCCTGTTTAGCATATCACCTGAAGGTAAATAACTTTATAAGTCTTTCTTCATGCATAATAAGGACAAAACCTGCTGTGTACACTGACACGCTCAGAAAAAGGTTCACTAATTTAATTAACTTATAACTGAACTTCACCTACAGTGCAGTACTTCTGAAAATTATTCTAAATGTAGAAAAAACCTACCACCTTCAGGGCAGAGGCATTAGACTACACAGTGAACAGAACTCAACCATGATCTCTGGATGATTCCACAACATAAGACAGCCATTCCATGGACTGTTTCTCAAACAGACTCAGTAATGGCTATGCCTACTCTGTGCTCTGGCCTGAAAACATCTCACCTTTGAAAAACATTTCATGGCAGATCCCTRTTTTAGCACAGCAGTTTGCACACCAGTCTGCAGGCAGTGTAGCAATATGGTACAACATGGCAATTTATGTAGTCTGTGTCATCAGTTCCCATGTTTTTACAGCGACTCTTCCTGTACACAATGTTGTTCAGATTCCCCCAGGTTTTGATGTCATATAACTAGAAGCCACCAATCCTTCCTTAAAAAAGAAACCCCGAGTGTCTTGTTTTTGTTGTTTTAGCAAAATGAAAAGCAGGAACAGGGAAAATATGAATCCTAATGATTTCAAAACAAGGAATTAAATTTTAAAATGGAGAGGGATTTAGAGTTTCTTTTGTACTCTTTAGTTTACACCTTTAAATTCTAGGGATTTGGCAAAGGCTGGGACAAACAACTTAGACATTATTAATAAAGGGCACAAATCTGCTGTCACCAAAGGTCAGCGCCAATGAATCAGCCAGTTATTTCCCTCCCTTGTGGGGGAAAAAAGTGGCCCCACAAGCCCTGATTCTGAATCTCAGCCAATTATTGTGTATGACTGAGGCCTGGGAAAAGAAAGGGAGTGTTAACAGCCCACATGGAGGAGGAATGCCGCATCTTGGCTACTGTTGAGAAACGGAGATTGGAATGTAGAATTGATAACGCAGGTGKCTGGAAATTATAARCATTACTAATACTGTARCTTTTRCAAACTCACCAATTATGTTCTGATTACTAATTAAACAGCTGTCTCTYAACCAATGTATGTTTGACAYAAATGTATACTCTGGTTGCTAAAGTGGATAAAAGAGGCTTGTCCCACAATAAAGTCCTTCTTTCYCTCTGTTTTTTTCACCCACTTTTGTGTGTTTYSTATCTATTCTTTTTGTCGCTGTTTGSCCAGCAGCGACACTCCCTGGTGTCTGTGCTCTCCAAAGCTCTTCCACAGTTAATATCCAGGCTGATTACATAAACTCTTTTTGGTCTTCAAACAAGCAGGCTTACCAAAGTAAAAGATACCACTTGAAACCTACTCATGAAAGCATGAGCACAGAGCAGAGATGAAAGWCAAAGGATTCGAGCACAGTCAAGACTCGCAATCCCCCCAGAGCCCCGAGTGGGCTGTTCAGCACCGGGGTGGGATTCACCCTGGCACACCAGCCAGCCCTGCACGGCTGGAGACAGCGGGCACCGCCTGCTTGTAAATGAGATCAACAAATGCTGTCCTTTTCCTTAAACAAAACGTGCAATGCGATGTTTGCGTGCACGCCGCTCCTCCAGCCCGCTGACCGGGGCTTTGGGGCGCGTTCCCGGCCGGAACCCCCGGCCTCCTGCAGCCCCGGGCGGGATGAGGGGCGGGATGAGGGGCGGACACGGCTCCCGCACCCCGGGGCCCTGGGCCTGCGCCATCCTGGAGGCTCCAGCTCCAGCCCGGCATCCGCGGCCGCCTCAGGGCGACAAACRGGCAGGAAACCCCGGCTTGTGGCATCCCCGGCCCGCTCCCGAATCCCGCCGCCAGCAGACCGGCCCCGCGGCCCCACTCACCGCCGACGGCTCTCTGAGCCTGCCGGTGCCGATTCCCCAGCGCCGGGACGAGCCAGCGGCGGCCGGGCCGGGCCGGGGAGCCCAGCGGGAACTACCGAGCCCGGGAACCCAGCGGGAACTACCGGCCCCAGCAGCCCGCGGGGCCGCGTTCCCATGGGAGCGGCCGCGCCCGCCCCGGGGAGGCACCGCGCCTGGTGCGGGGTCCGTGTGCCCGCAGCCCTGTGTGCACAAAATCCGCGAAACACCGCGGAACTGCTGTGATTTATTCGAGTCCTGTTGAATGGTTGGTTTAGCCTCTAATGCATTTTTGATCTGGTTGTTTTGTTTTTTTTATTTTCTCAGCTGCAGCATGGCYCAGTCAACAAGCGAAATGTCGCTACAGATGGTGTCCACCGTCAGTAACTCTGCCTTGCTTCAACCAGGCTTCTCTCTCCTGAATTTTGATGGGCATGTTTTCTTTTTTGGTCAGAAAGGATGGCCAAAGAGATCCTGCCCCACTGGTGTTTTCCTCCTCGATATAAAGCAGAACGAGCTCAAAATGAAACCAGCCCTCTTCTCTAAAGATTCATGTTACCTTCCCCCTCTCCGTTATCCTGCTCTTTGCACACTCAGAAGTGATGCTAGTTCTGATGAGTACCAGTATATCATCCATGGTGGTAAAACACCTAACAATGACCTTTCTGATAAGATTTAYTTTATGAGTCTGGTAAGCAAAACTAGCAAGAAAATGACATTCCAATGCATTGAGAAAGAACTGTGTGGAGATGTCCCCGAAGCTAGATATGGGCATACAATTAATGTCGTTCATAGTCGGGGAAAAAGCATGAGTGTTCTATTTGGAGGGAGATCGTATACTCCTCTTGCACAAAGAACTACYGAAAAATGGAACAGTGTGGTTGACTGTTTGCCGTCTGTGTTTCTCATTGATTTTGAGTTTGGGTGCTGTACATCATACATACTCCCRGAGCTTCAAGATGGGCTTTCTTTCCACGTTTCAATTGCCAGAGATGATACAATCTACATCTTGGGAGGCCATTCACTTCAAAATAACACACGGTCCCCCARCTTGTACAAGCTAAAAATCGATCTGCCCCTGGGCAGCCCATCTGTGACCTGCACCATCCTGCCAGGAGGGATATCAGTGTCAAGTGCTATAGTGACCCAGATCAGTGACACTGAATTTGTCCTTGTTGGTGGCTACCACTCTGACAACCAGAAACGRTTGGTGTGTAACACCATAGTTCTGGAAGACAGTAAGATAGAGATTGTTGAAAGTGCGAGCCCAGAGTGGACGCCAGATATTAAACACTGCAGAATGTGGTTTGGCTGTGATATGGGTAAAGGGTCTGTATTGCTGGGCATTCCAGGGGCCAACAARCAATTAATCCCAGATGCAAACTATTTCTACATTTTAAAATGCAAAGGAGCAGAAGAGGACAAGGAAGAAGAATTGATAACACAAATTTGCAGTCAGACGTCAAGTGAAGACCCTGGAGACTCCACTCCATTTGAAGACTCAGAGGAGTTTTGTTTTARTGCTGAAGCCAATAGCTTTGACATTGATGATGCTGACACTTACAATGAAGATGATGAAGAAGATGAATCAGAAACAGGCTATTGGATCACGTGCTGTGCCAGTTGCAATGTTGACATTAACACCTGGGTCCCTTTCTATTCAACAGAACTCAACAAGCCTGCAATGATCCTGTGTTCCAGCGGGGCTGGCCACTGGGTCCATGCGCAGTGTATGGATCTCTCGGAGACCATGCTTCTGCRTCTCTCAGAAGCAAATGTCAAGTACTTCTGCAACAAGCATGTTGACCTTCATAAAGGGCTACAAACTCCCCAAAAGCAACCAACCCTGAAAAAGCAACCCATGAAACCATTGCGCAGAAAGAAAACCATGAAGCTATTAACGYCAACGAAAAAGTCTTTTCTTCGGAGACTGTTTGAATAGATTTACACTKATGATTTGTATTCCCTACCTGGGAGGAAATGAAATCACAGTCAAAGGCAATGCTGGCTAAGCAAAGTGGGCTATTGCAGCTCGCAGAGATTCTTCTATCAATTATCTCACTGTTTTTGTTGCATTTCMAAGCAGATTGATCTATTCTATTTTTGTAATATCCAGACAGGGACCCYATCATAGAGGGCACTGTGCAAACACACAGACAGATATTGGTAAACTGTTTTATGCTATAACTTACTCCCCAGAAAGTTTAATGGAACTGCTGGTAGGATAAGACATTATTCCATGTAGTCAGTGCTGTTACCATCTGTCCATAAAGAACATTGTCTTGCCCATTTTAATTTTTTATCTTAGTCAGTGCTAGAARTATTTGACCTAATTTATAGCTGCATTACTGCAGTTTTATGTTGGTGTAATGAAATAAAATGAGACTAATTACTCTGGTTTTAAACAAAAGTAGTGGTGTAAGTCCCTTGCGTCAGAAATATTCAGACACTGAGGGTCACTTTTCTTCAGGGATTTTCATTATGGAAAGCTTACATATGGAGCATTTAATTCTGGATAATTAATTTTTTTTTTATTTTGAGAGTTATTGAGTGATTATATGTCGATTTTGGCTACAGTTGTGGAATATCATCTCACAGTAAAAATTAAATTGCGTTTTTAAAACTACTGTGATCATCAACTGCTTTGTGTTTGTATTTTTAAAAATTTAGTAAGGTAATAAAGTTTATAACAAAAATGACTGCATCTTTTCATGTACTCATGGGTAAATCAAACACTGTAAATCCCAAAGTTTACAAAAGGACAGCATGCATGCTTGGGAGGTCCATATGAAGCCTGATAAGGGGTCTAGCTTCACAGCCACCCCATGCTGTGAACTCCCATTGACTTCAGAAGAMATTCCTTCTGATGAACAGGACTTTTATCATTTACTTCAGGTCCTGCACTACCCATTTCTTTCTCAGCTTTCCCAGGGTGACTGTGTAGAGTGTGAAAACTTAGAAGTGCAAACTGTAGCTCAGAGTGATTCACTGAGCCAGTGGAGCATTGTGAGGGTAGAAACAAATGCAGTTGGCTGCTCAGAACATGAGGAGAAGATTGGATTCAGATTGAAAAGGACATTGTCAAGGTTGAATAGCCCAAGAGTTTACTAAGTTTTTTTGTGSATTCTTTTATTGGCTATTTGTAAAGCCTCATCATTCTTGACTTTATTTTTTATCTTTATTACTGCTCCAAACATCTTTTCAGAAAATCAATACCAGCAGCTCAACATTTGTGAGCCAACAATAATAGCTCAATATTCACAGTCCAACTTTCATGCTGGATCCCTGAATAAAAAAGAAAATCAGGACCAGCTGTCAGCCATTTGATCACTATGAGCAGACCCTGAGCAGCCACTCCTTTACAAAGTAGCATGTGAAGCACAGTGTCCCTGTCAACACAGACCTGCCTGCACAGCACTCCTCTCATAACCTTACCACCCCAAGTCAGCAGCAAAGAAAAGGGAAACCTTGCAAAGTTTCAATTTGCAGCCTTTTTGTGTGCTGAGAGGGCTTCCAGTTTGGATTGGGCTTCTGTATGGGAAGGTTATCATTTCTACATCCTGATACAGCTATAAGTTCATAGATTTCGATGCCAGCCTCCCATTTCCTTTGTCCTATTACTTTACATAATCTCAGCTGACTGTATAGTGCTATATGTTTCTCCAATTAGTAAGTTAATATCATGCTCATGTGAAGTCCCTTCAAACTGATGAAATTCAATAGTCAACATCCCCTTTTGTATGTTSGTCACAAGTCTTAGTGAGCTGACTTGTCATTAAAATACATGATCATCATGCATTTTTTTACATCAACAAARTAAATACACACCAACGCAAAAGCCACATCATCCCAATACCAACAAAAAGGGACAGCATACTCACACAACAAAACTCCACTCCTTGCCACTTTGCCATTTTGCAMCAGCCAAGGACTCTCCACAGTTATTGGGCTCCCCACAATTATTGGGCTCCYTGGCAATAGCCACACTGAGATTTTCCCTGTTACCTCTCTCAGTTACTGTCATTATATCAAGTTCCTCGGGCAGCACACTGTATGACAAATTTTTCGGCTGGTGCAAACAAATAAAAGGATGGAACCATTTTGTAAAGGGWAAGCTTGACACTGGCCTAGCAGAAGTGACATTCAGCCTGAGATAAAGCCCTGTGACTCAGKCTCTGGTGGTGTGGTTGCAGTGAACTGGGAGCAACTCTGAATTTCCAGAAYTGACTCCTGCAGCCCCTGGGAGCTGAGAACAGAGGATCAGCATGAGGCAAGTACAGGCACACATTGCAGCCTCTTSCAGTTCTTACCTGAGCTGTTGTTCTTTAACACTGTGGCTATGAAAAAAGCAATTCACAGYCAGACTTTATGTCATACCTCATACATTCGTGTATTGTATATCTGACCTGCGCTTTTTTAAATGTATGGTTTATTTGAGTAGGAGGGAAAAATTGCTTGGTTAAACCATGTCCCAGCTTCATAGTGAAAGGCTGTACAAGCAGCATTAAATCACATTTCAGAGACTGTGGCTCCTGCAGGAAAAAGAAGTAGTAAGTAAAATAGAAAATTTTTGAAAGGACTTGAACATAKGGAGATATATGAACTTCATCCTGTAAAGAAGACACTTGACATAGCATTCAGGACTGCAGAAAGTACTTAATGTCCTGAGTCATGTACTTCAAAAGCATTCATTGTCTTCAAAACCAGCTAATCAATACAAGATGGTTCTTGCTCAGGCAGGTTAGAATTAACAGATAAAATGAAGTAGATTTGAGYGCAGAAGTAAATATTGTATCTGCATCCAATTGACCTGTGTGTTTTGTAAGCACAATAAGCATCATCATGGTTCCCAGACACATTTTAGTAACACTGTATTGTTATTATCAGCTTCTAGGAGAATAATGTATGGATTTTGCTGCTACTGAAAGATGCTTGGACCTTGAAGCAGGTGATTAATTTACAGGAAAGGCAAGGCACAAAGTTTACTGGTAGCACTAAAGCGTGTACTATAGTTCAGAGTGACTCATGGCACCAATAGACCATTTAAAAGAGTGGAAATAATGCAACTGGGAGCCCAAAGCAGAAGGAAAATGTGGAATTCAGACTGAAAAGGAATTTGTTATTTACTGCTGGACTGTATGCATTAAAAACTAAAGGATTGGATTACTTCTTTTTCATGATTGGTCGCTATAGCCCCCTTCATATTTGATTTCCTACCATATTCCATTTCAAACAAGGCTGACTTTTGGGAAAGGCTTGAGACTCTGAAAATCAAACTCCAATTTGTTGTCTCTACTTCGAAAACTATGGCACTGGAGCTCTTTGTTTCTTTGGAAAARGCAAGACAATAACCTTACAAACTCTCCAATTTCTCAATACATAAACATATATGGGAAAAAACAGAGCACTGGCAGCCCCACAGATGTGCAGGACCTCCTTTGTGGAGGTGGTAGTTGTGAATTTCCTTGTTCATTTGCTCAGAATGCCCATCTCCAGAGGAAGAGCACTAAAAAGGAATCTCTTGACCTCTCTCCCGATGCTGCTAATTAAATCCTCTCTAATGTGTCTTTTTATATTGTGGACAACATTAAGCTTGATGCAAAAGGTAGAGAAGCTCCTTAAACACTTAAGGAAACACTTAGGAATTGCAGCTGGTCAACTGCTTGACAATTACACCATATTCAGGCCCCTAAAACACTACTCTGAAGAAGAGCAGTGACAGGCCTCATTATTCTTCATCTGATCCCCACAGGAGTACATGGAAAGTAAAATTCAGTCAGTTGTTACCATTTTAGGAGTAAAGGAGTTAAATCATCCTAATTTACCAGAAMACTTTCTGAGGCTTAGTTTTTTTGTTTGTATGGATTTTTTCCATCCAACATGTTTTTTTTACTCCAGTTCAGATGAAAAAGGCAGGTTGGTGATGTAAATTCCACATATTAGATGTCTGAGAAATCAGGTAGCTTAATTTGCATGTCATTAATTCCATTCAAAGCAGTTGGCTTACATAAATCTTTTAGCCTGGAGAGATCATTGTACAGAAAAAATAACGATTTTTCTGGAGTAGAATAAAACTAAGCTGCTAATAATAGACTGAATGGTAGATTGGAACTAACCTTTACAGCTCAACCGCTGGTKAGGAGCCAAAGTTTGATGCAAAGGTTGCACAGAAACCAGTAAAGACACTTAATGAATTAGCATGATGATTAAAAGTGCGAGGCTGATTTTACAGAAAATCTGGGATGGTATTTGTAAATGGATCAAAAGACATTTACAGACTGAATAAAACTGGTTTTGTATCAGTTTAGTGTTCTGTCAAACAGTTGCCTGTGAGGAAGAGTGCTGAAAGGACTGCTGAGATTCACAGGGTAATCTTCATTTGTGTTAATTTAGTGACTTCCAGAACAGGGCTGGAATCACAGCTGCCTCTGGGTATTAGAACAGCCTAAGAGTGAAAAGCATCCACAATTTGAATGAAAACTAAGACTGCCACCACGAAATTATGGGCATTGTTGAAAAACTGTATGAAATAAAAAGTCAGAAACTTAAATATTTATAAGACTTTTATTTTAAACTGGTTTAATGAAATGCAAAACTGTCATAGAGTAAGAAAAAGTAAAATTATGAAGCCATGAAATGAAACAAAGCAAATAACTCAGTGTAGTCAGAAATCAGAACCCTGTAAATATCTACAGTTTGTTTCTGAACTACCTGACTAAAAGTAAAAGCTGATTTGTTTAAAGACAATAGAATTATCCATGTGAGGAAAAAAAAAAAGAAAGTGATAGCAGAATCGTGGCTTCTAACATAGCTCACATCATTTACAACATGGCAATTCACAATATAAAGCCCTTGAATAAAACAAAACAAAACCAAAACAAGATACATAATGCGATTGTATAAAAACTACAGTCAATACAATTTCAGAAAAAAATAATAATT